TTCTTTAATTAGAGAAATAGATAGCATCCTTTGTAAACAGGATTGACATCCCCACCTGCCTGGTGCCGGGTGAGGAGCATCGCTGACCGGCTTGAAAGGATATTGGAGAGGAGGGGGAGGATCCAGTTGTTGTGGTCCACGTGGGACAAACAATATAGGCAAGACAAAGAGAAAGGACCTGTTTGGGGATTATCAGGAACTAGGAACTAAATTAAAGAACAGATCCTCAAGGGTTATAATCTCCAGATTACTACTCAAGCCACGTGCAAATTGGCATAGGGACGCGAGAATAACACATGACTAAAGGAGTGGTGTGGGAAAGAGGAGTTCCATTTCATGGGGTATTGGCATCAGTATTGGAACAGGAGGGATCTGTACCGTTGTGATGGTCTCCACCTGAACCGAGCTGCGACCAATGTTCTAGCAAAAAAGGGAAGGAGCGTGGTCAACAGGACTTTAAACTAGAAAGTGGCAGAGAAAGGAAACAAAGCAGCAGGTTAGGATGTCACAGGGTGGATTCAACTGCATGGAAAAATATGAAAAAAATGAAAAGAAAGGAGATGTTATTAAAGTTTCCAAAACACAACATAGGACAGAGTGTTTGAAAAGGGTTAGGAATCTAACTTCAAACACATCAGATAAAGGGAAGACAATGAGAAAAGGGATGGTAAATATGGGACTGAAGGTGTATCTGAATGCATGCAGTATATAGAATAAGGTGAGCTTGTGGCACAGATTGAAATTGGCAGAAATGATGTAGTGGGCTTCATGGAGATATGGCTGTAAGGGGATCAGGATTGGGAGCTAAATATCCAAGGATATACATCCTATTGAAAAGACAAGCAAGTGGGCAGAGGGGGTGGGGTTGTCTTATCAGTAAGAAATGATGTAGATCAATAGCAAGAAATGACATAGGGGCACATGATGTAGAATCTGTGTGAATAGAATTGAGGAACTGCAAAGGTAAAAAAAACTGTAATGAGAGTTATGTACAGGCCTCCAAACAGAAGTCAGGATGTGGGGCACAAGATACACCAGGAGATAGAAAAGGTGTGTAAGAAAGGCAAGGTTACAGTGATAATGGGGGGTTCAATATGCAGATGGATTGGGAAAATCAGGTTGGTAGTGGATCGTGAGAAAATGAATGTGTGGAATGTCTACGAGATGGCTTTTTGGAGCAGCCTGTGGTGGAGTCCACAAGGGAACAGGCAATTCTGGATTTAGTGACGTGAAATGAAGCAGACTTAACAAGGGAGCTTAAGCTAAACAAACTCTCAGGAGTCAGTGACGATAATATGATAGAATTCGCTCTGCAATTTGAAAGGGAGAAGCTGGTATCAAGTGTAACAGATATTACAGTTGAATAAAGATAACTACAGAGGATGAGGGAGGACCTGGACAGAATTGACTGGAGGAGGAGCCTAGCAGGAAAGACAGTGGAACAGCAATGGTAGGAGTTTCTGGGAGTAATACAGGGGACACAGAAATAGTTCATCCCTAGGAAAAAGAAGCATACTAAAGGGAGGATGAGGCAACCATAGCTGACTAGGGAAGTCAGGGATAGCATAAAAGCAAAAGACAAAGCAGATAATGTGGCAAAGGGCAGTGGGAAGCCAGAGGAATGGGAAGCTTACAAAGACCAACAGAGGGCAACGAAAGAAGAAACAAGGAGGGAGAAGATTCAATATGAGGGTAAGTTAGCCAGTAATAAAGAAGAAGATTGCAAGAGTTTCTTTGGATATATAAAGGGCAAAAGAGAGGCAAAAATGTAATTAGGCCACTGGAAAATGACGCTGGAGAAGCAGTAATGGGGAACAAAGAAATGACCCAGGAACTGAACAAGTACTTTGCTTCAGTCTTCACAGTGGAAGACACTAGTAACATCCCAAAAATTCAACAGAGTTGGGGGGCAAAGGTAGCCATTACCAAGGTGAAGGTGCTAGAAAAACCGAAATGTCTGAAGGTGGATAAATCACCTGGACCAGATGGACTACACCCCAGAGTTCTGAAGGAGATAGCTGATGAGATAGTGACTATCTTTCAGGAATCACTGGAGTTCGGGAGGGTCCCTGCGGACTGGAAAACCGCTAATGTAACCCAAATCCCCTCCCCATTTAAGAAAAGCGTACGGCAAAAGACAGGAAATCACAGACCGATTAGCCTGACTTCTGTCGTTGGTAAGATTTTGGAGTCCATTGTGAAGGATGAGATTTCTGAATACTTGGAAGTACATGATAAAATAGGGCAAAGTTGATGTGGTTTCATCAAGGGGAGGTCATGCCTGACAAATCTGTTAGAACTCTTTGAGGAGGTAACAAGCAGGTTAGATAAAGGAGAGCCAATGGATGTTATCTACCTGGACTTCCAGAAGACCTTTGACAAGGTGCCGCACAGGAGGCTGCTGAGTAAGATAAAAGCCCATGGTGTTCGAGGTAAGGTACTAGAATGGATAGAAGGTGGCTATCTGGCAGAAAGCAGAGAATGAGGATAAAAGGGTCCTTCTCAGGATGGTAGCCGGTGATTAGTGGTGTTCCGCATGGGTCAGTGTTGGGACCACAACTTTTCACTTTATACATTAATGGTCTCGATGAAGGAACTGTGGGCACTCTGACTAAGTTTGCATATGGTACAAAGGTAGGTGGAGGGAAAGGTAGTATTGAGGAGGAGGGGAGGCTGCAGAAGGATTTAGGACAGGTAAGCAGAGTGGGCAAAGAAGTGGCAGATAGAGTACACCATGGGAAGGTGTGAGGTGATGCATTTTGGTAGGAAGAATAGAGGCATAGACTATTTTCTAAATGGGGAGAAAGCTCAGACATCTGAAGTGTGAAGGGACTTGGGAGCACAAGTCCAGGACTGTCTTAAGGTTAACTTGCAGGTTGAGTCTATAGTTAGGAAGGCAAATAAATGTTAGCATTTATTTCGAGAGGTCTAGAATATAAAAGCAGGGATGTACATCTGAGGCATTATAAAGCTCTGATCAGTTCACATTTAGAATATTGTGAGCAATTTTAGGAGCAATGTCTCAGGAAGGATGTACTGGGCCTGGAGTGGGTCCAGAGGAGGTTCATGAGAATGATCCCAGGAATGAAAGGATTAACATAAGAGGAACATTTGAGGACTCTGGGTCTATAATTGATGAAGTTTAAAAGGGTGAAGAGGGATCTAATTGAAACTTATAGAATACTGAAAAGCCTGGACAGAATGGACGTTGAAAAGATGTTTCCAATCGTAGGAGAGACTAGGAACTGAGGTCACGGCCTTAGAGTAAAGGGAAGACCCCTTAGAAAGGAGGTAAGGAGAAACTTCTTCATCCAGACAGTGGTAAATCTATGGAACTCATGCCACAGAAGGCTGTGGAAGCCAGGTAATTGATTATATTTAAAACGGAGATAGATACATTCTTGATTGTCAAGGGGATCAAAGGCTATGTGGACAAAGCTGGAGAATGAGGTCGAGAAACTCCCAGCCATGACTGAATGTCGGAGCAGACTTGATGGGCCGAATGGCCTAATTTCTCCTCCAATGTCTTATGGTCTTACGATTATAGGATCACCCCTCATGCAATTCCAGGGATAGCTCCAGCAGAGTTGCTAACTGGGAAGAAACTCCACACCAGGTTAAATCTGATCTTCCTGGACCTGGGGGTGGAGGGCAGGGTGAAACGGCATCAGGAATGCCTGTGCTGGACAGAAAACCCCACTAAGTGAGAGAAAAAGTTTAATTCAGGGGATGAAGTTTGTTGTAGGAACCACAGGACTGGCTGTGCAGGGGTAACAGGCATGGTCGACACAAATAGGGGAGGCGATGGCCTAGTCGTATTATCACTGGACTGTTAATCCAGACACCCAGGTAATGCTCTTGGGACTTGGATTTCAAATCCTGCCACGGCAGATGGTGGAATTTGAATTCAAATAAATATCTGGAATTAAGAGTCTAATGATAACTGTGAATCCATTGTCGATTGTTGGAAAAACCCATCTGTTTCACTAACGTCCTTTAGGGAAGGTAACTGCCATCCTTACCTGGTCTACATATGACTCCAGACCCACAGCAATGTGGTTGACTCTTAACTGCCCTCTGGGCAATTAGGGATGGGCAATAAATGCTGGCCTAGGCAGTGACACCCTCATCCCGTGAATGAGTAAAGAAAGAAAAAGGTTAGGTCTAGAGACGTATAAGGTTCGGGTAGGTGCAAACTTCCTGAACTAGCATGTGGACCGTATAAAAGCTGCAAACTTGCAAATGGCGCGAGAGCCCGGCTCGTCCACTGCCTTTCTGACTGCTCCAGAACCAGAGTATGTCCTCGGACACAGAGGGGAAGGGATGTTGTGATTGTAACAAGGTTAGCCAGGTAGATCTCACAGAATGAGTTCCTTGACTGGGGCTGTTAGTCTGGTCCAATCAGAGAGCTCTGGCTGACAGATATAACCAGGAGTGTCAGCCATCCTGTTTACTCTGAGAGCTGGCTCTGAGGGAGCTGGATCAGGGACTCTCCATATGGTAAATAAAGGGTGACTTGGTGACGGAATACCTGCCTCTGTGGAGTTATTTCAGTCACTTTTAATAATCATTCTGTTTGCTGATACCAATGATCTGACAATGATTGCCATCTGCACATCCTTACTAGCAATTCTCTCCAAAGTCACATAGCAAGTCTGTTTTTAAAAATTAAAGTAAAAATTCTACACTATTTCACACTTTATTTCTCTTCTCCCATTTACTCTTGCCTTTTTTTCATTATTGCATTATTTCTCACTCCTTTCAGAAATGTATTTGTGAGATTACCGCTGGTTCACATGCTCCTTGATATCTACAAGAGCAGCCTTCATTAATACTAGCTTAATGTCCACATTGTGTGCACTGAATCCAAATTCTCCAACTGTCCTCATGGGGTTTGAAGCAGTGGTCTCTGGATTATTAGTCCAGAAAGATGACCACTATCTGACTACATGCTGCCTTAGTCAATAGACCATGTATTCCCAGTGGCTATCAGCACTAACCTGTAAGACCTTCCCCTGTGGACCTTCATCAAACAATAAGGCTTGCTGGTAAACAGGGTCCAGGGACTTCCTTGATATCTTGGTTTTTCTCTTTGCTATACACACGCCATTCTCCAGCAGGTACACCTTAATGTATGGAGCTGAAATATGCAAGGTACAAGTCATAAACTGTGAGCGCCACAAAAAAACCCAACAGTGAACACAAAGTAATTGAAACATAATGATGATTCATGCATTTCAGAAAAAAATAATAGATTTGTCTTTATATAAGCATCGTCCGCAATCTCAGAACATTCCAAAGCATTTTACAGCTGATTAGCTGCTTTACAATGTAGACACCATTGTAATGTTCAAAACAAAGTAGTCAATATGTACACAGCAAGCTCCCACTGCAGGTGGGACCAGGAAATCTGCACGCTCATGGAAGGATGAATTAGCCCAGACACCAGGGTGAATTCCCCCAATCCGCACCAAAAGGTGCTGAGGGATTCATTGTGTGTATGTTAGAAACAAAACAGGAATGCAGTTTAACACCTAATCTGAAAGTGGAACCTTTGGCGGTGCAGCACACCTTCATTACAACAGGCCAGAGTGGTGCCTGCTGTGGCTCTGTGTCCAGCTGGACGCTGTAGGCCCAAACCAGACAGCCTTATAACTTGTGCCAAACAATGGGCACTATACACACACTAACGCCCACTCTGCTCATTTTGAGGGAGTTGTGAAAACAGTATCAAAATAAGCCAGAGGCTTTCAACTCAGTTGATCACATGGGGGCTCTCACAGAAGAAGAATGAACACTGGCTCCACGCCGCCAGTGCAGCTCAGGCAGAGCCAGTCAGCTGTCTGGTCATCAGCCTGGGGCTCGGTGAGTAACATTCAGGCCTGAGTCAGAGAGGCTGAGTTCAAGTGCCAAGGTGAACACTCCATTATTGCACCGAGGGAGAGATGGAGTGAGGTAGCTGGAAGAAAATAGAAACAGGAGCAGGACTAGCCCATCTGGCCCCTCGGGTCTGCTCCACTATTCAACCATGTTTACAGCTGATCATCTAACTCTGTACCCTGGTCCCACTTTTGCCCCTTTAGCCATGAGGACTATATCTAACTCCTTCTTGAAGACTTTCAATGTTTGGCCTCAGCTGCTTTCAGTGGTAGCTAACTCCTCAGGCTCCCCACTCTGTAAGTGAAGAAATTTCTCCTCGTTTCAGTTCTAAATGGTTTACCTGTATTCTGTGACCCCCTTGGTTCTGAATTCCCCAGTCATCGGGAACATCCTTCCTGCAATAACCCTGTATAGTTCCTTTGGAATTTTATAGGTTTTTATGAGATCGCTCTGCTCTTTCGATAAAACTCCAGTGAATATAATACTAACCAATCCAGTCTGTCTTCATATGTCAATCCTGCCATCCCAGGAATCAGACAGGTAAACCATTGCTGCATTCCCTCTATAGCTAGAACATCCTTCCTCAAATTAGAAAACCAAAATTATACATGATATTCCAGGTGTGGTCCCACCAAAACCCTGTAAAATTGCAGCAACGTATCCCTGCTCCTGTATTCAGATCTTAAACAAGGGTAATGTTCATTTTGTTTTTTTCCTCCCTGCTGGGGTGGTCTGTTTTGCTGTGATTGAGTTGATGCACAATGGGAAATGGGAAAATGAAGACAAAACTGTCGTTTATTGATCTTCATTTTAACAGTTTCTATTTGAGCAATTTAGAGACTCCGCTATTCACTGTGAAATAGAGCAGCTGGAACTGAGGAACCACCTCAATTCCCATATTTTCCCTGGCCCACATCAAATGGAAAGGAATCTGGAAGCTTTGCAAGGGACGAGGATGAGGGGAATGATGATACTGGTCTGCCCTCTGGTGGTGAAGAGATTGGACCTAGTGGCAGGAAAGTAGGTGTAAAATGACGAGTTTTTTTCCACATCAAGTGAACAGTAACTCAAAATATTCACAGTTCTGAAGTTAGTAAAGACACCCCCTCAGATATGAGCATTTAAGCGGTGTCATACAGACCTGTTTATGGCTAGTCTGAACCACTACTATAATGATTCATTCCCATGATGTTTCTAAATGTTTACTCAATCTACCCCATGAAAGGTGACTACTGCCTTTGGGAGCAGATGTTCTAAATAGACATCAAAAATAAGGCTATACGGTACCAGTGAAATACGTTTCGACAGATTGCCAGTTAAATTCTTGGTTTCTGCCTGAGGCAGTTGAACAGCATCACTAACTGTTTTTAGATTTTCCTCTTACACATTTTCAAAGGTGCGAGTAGTTCGCTAGCGAATTCCTTGCTTGCTCAGTTGATATTTGAGCCAATCGGGGTGCAAGTAAAAACATTCTTTGTGACCGTAACACTTTTCAGCTTGGTATCCCCAGCTGTAATGTTTTAAACTAACATTCTGGAGAGCGACAGCAGACAGTCACTGTGTCCATTGAAGCTAGTGCGAGTCTCCAGATATTTATCTGCATCTCTATCGATGTACAACCGGGAATTGTCACGTTTCTCCCCTATCGAATAGCAACTGAGTTCTGACAGATCCTGGGCTATATTTATCCCTCGAGTAACGGCTAAAACAGATGAAAACCGAAAGAACTGCGAATGCTGTAAATCAGAAAAAAAACAGAAGTTGCTGGAAAAGCTCAGCAGGTCTGGCAGCATCTATCGGTAAAGAGAATGAAGGGTCTGATGAAGGGTCATCGGACCCGAAACGTTAACTCTGATTTCTCTTCACAGATGCTGCCAGACCTGATGCGTTTTTCCAGCTAAAAACAAATAACACGGTTATGAATACTTTGTCTTTTGTGCAGGTGAACATCTGCTTGATGTGGAAAGTCTTCCTGGGGCCTGGGATGGGGTTGGTGAAGTGGATGAACTGTTCGAGCTCCTCGTGGGAGCACGAGGTGGCGCCGATACAGTCATCAATGTAACGGAGGAAGAGGTGGGGTTTAGGGCCAGTGTAGGTATGGAAGAGGAATTGTTCCACGTAACCTACAAAGAACCTACATGGTAAAGATGGACGTCCAGTCCCTATACACCTGCATTCCCCATTCAGATGGCCTAAAGGCCCTCCGCTTCTTCTTGTCCCGCAGGCCCGACCAGTCCCCCTCCACTGACACCCTCATCCGCTTAGCTGAACTCGTCCTCACCCTCAACAACTTCCTTCAATTCCTCCCACTTCCTACAGACAAAAGGGGTGGCCATGGGTACCCGCATGGGCCCAAGCTATGCCTGCCTCTTTGTAGGTTACGTGGAACAATCCCTCTTCCATACCTACACTGGCCCTATCCCCCACCTCTTCCTCCATTACATTGATGGCTGTATCGGCGCCGCCTCATGCTCCCACGAGGAGCTCGAACAGTTCATCCACTTCACCAACACCTTCCACCCCAACCTTAAGTTCACCTGGACCATCTCTAATACCTCTCTCTCCTTCCTAGACCTCTCTGTCTCCATCTCCGGCAACCACCTAGAAACCGATATCCATTTCAAGCCCACCGACTCCCACAGCTACCTAGAATACACCTCCTCCCACCCACCTTCCTGCAAAAATGCCATCCCCTATTCCCAATTCCTTCGCCTCCGCTGCATCTGCTCCCAGGATGAGGCATTCCACTCCCGTACATCTCAGATGTCCTTGTTTTTCAAGGACCGCAACATCCCCCCCTCAGTGGTCGAGAACGCCCTCGACTGTGTCTCCCGCATTTCCCGCAACTCATTCCTCACACCCCCTCCCCACAATAACAACCAAAACAGAATCCCCCTCATCCTCACGTACCACCCCACCAACCTCCGGATCCAACGCATCATCCTC